TCATGTCCTCCAGTAAGGATGGGCTCTTATTAATCGAATGCTGCTGCACGTAATAATTCCTTATGACTAGATTTTGTATATAATTTTGCATATTGAAGTGGACATGTTGAGTACAATTTGAAAGAAGAAATATAAAATACGATAAAAATACATTTTTGTGTTTATTTGATTCCTATTCAAGACACGTAAGATAAGATAAGAATAACTATAGTGTTACTATATACTCGGGACCGGCTACAGATTTGTTTGACATTTTTGGTTGGTTGGTGGTGTGCCTCGTGATTTTTTTCAATGAAAAAATGTACCTTGGCTCAAAAAAGGTTGAAAAAAACACTGATCTAGCCCATAGCTCATATTTCCATCCAAAGGCTCTCTCACCTTCTTCTGCTGGAGCTGAGCACTGAGCAGCCCCCGCATCCCTCTGGGGTCCCCCGCCTGGAACCCGGGGAAGCAGGTCAGCGTCTTCTGGACGGCGGAGGGCGGGGGGGTTCTGCGGGGGGCGGGTTTGACCGACACCAGAACCACGTCGTCGTCGGGGGGGTCGAGGGAGGGAACGCCGGGAACGCCGGGAGGAGAGGAAACGCTCTTGTTTCGTACCGAGGATTCATCAGGTTGAGTTACAAGGCGGGTTTTGTCTTCGGTTGTTTTGTCCAGATCCAGAGAGGTTTTTTTTACTTTGTCAAACTGAGGACGATCCATTTTGTGTTCACCCGCTTCTTTCTGCTCCTTTTTAGTCAAATCTTTTATTTTATCCGTAATCTCTCCCACTTGGTCAGCTTTCTCCTCACTCGAAACCCTCTTCTTTACCTTCATTCCAGGTGGAAGCTGTTTGCCTCGATAACTATCGGACTCCTTCAGCTTTCCCACCTCCTCTTCTTCTTCTTCTGCTTTTGCCCCGGCAGCCAACGCGTTTTCTTTCTGACGTTTCTCCTTTCCTTCAGCTTTGTTGTGGCCGGTTTGGCTGCCGTTCTCCTCGCCTCCACCGGCCGGCGTCTTCCTCCGGTCAGAGTCCTTGTCGGTCTTGCTGGGAACCTTAAAGGGGTTTCTAACCGGTGGAAGGCAGGAGGGTTGGAGCTGGGCATCAGAAAGGGGGCTTCTCTTTTCTATTCCTGGCTGCAATGATTAAGCATCACATGATTTTAAAAACACAGCAGATTTAGACAATCGTATGCCTATGACAATCTATCCGCCAAACTCCTATATTACATACACACAACTCCTATTATATACGCTGTACTTAATCTGTATTTTTTGTAATTTTTTTTGCTTAATTTAATTTAACTTAATACTTTTTTTGCCCTGTAAGCTGCTGGTAACCTTAATTTCCTGAGGGAGTCTTCCCAAGGGATCAATAAAGTACTGTTTAAGTCTAAGTCTGATAGAAATCAGCCGTTATAGGAGGCTACAGTCAGTTAGGGACTGTTAAAAAAGTCTTACTGCTGTCCAAGGAACGTTTCCACACCATCTCTGGCCTGCTTTTTTCCCCACAACACACCTGTAGTACAACCTGGGAAGGGGGCAAAAAAAAAAAGCCAAAGACACATTCTTGGTGACATCCAGAAATCCGGCACTCGACAGTGTGTGCAGTGAAACGTATTAGTCGCACAATCCCAACACACAATCGCACACCTGTGGCTCTGCTGTTGTTGACTGTAGCTCAGGGCCTGAAGCTCCACCATCGAATCTTCATGATGGAGGCAATGGGAAGGCAAGACGCTGTAAAGAGTGATATCAGATCAAAAACAAGATGAAGATCTGTGCAAAAAGTACCTACAAAAAACTACACATATAGATCAATTATTAGAATGGTGCCAAGCTAAAGCATGTGTAATAGCTGTGTATTTTAAGATCACAGTCAGATATTTTGGTTTGGTGGAGTTGGTCCCCTGTATCTCTGCTTAAACTTTGATTCTGGGACAAATCCTAGACAGTAACAATCCAACAGGGCCCCGATTTAAACAGCTGAAAGCGTGGAAATGACGTGGATACCTGGCCTGCTGGCTGAAATCACAGCTCTGCTTGTCAACGCAGACGTAGAAGCTCTTGCCTTTCGTTGGTCCATCTTTTACTCCAGTTTTTAACATGCACAAGGTGTCTACGTGAAGAAGAAATGTCTTAGATGATCACACAAGTTCTACTTTCTTTTTATGCAGGTGGCTGTTTTACTACAGCAATGCCATCCATCATAACTTACCGTGGACAGTACATAAAACCTTTTCCATTATTTCAACACAGTTTACTTTCGGTAACCACCAGACCACGTCGTGAAATCCGGTATTTTTGTACTGACCAATGGGATCAGCCCGATACCATATCCTGTAAATGCATATCAGAATAACAGTGTTCTTCCTTCTGAAGTTGTACCTTTCGCTTATTTTTTAAAACAAAAGACGTATAACAAGAACATACAACCATTTTTCTTTATCCAAACAAGATGTTACACTATTACGGTTCAAGATACACTAAACGACAGGTTGTGTTTGTTGAGAGGCTATTATTCTGAAATATTTTGTAGGGCGGTTGAACCGGATACATACCTTTTTCTGTTCAAATAAACCCGAATATATCACAGTGGTTGCGTTTTAGACTATTTAAATAAGTTTCATTTCCAATAAAAAAAATTTTATCGAAGCAATATTTATATATATAAATGAAAACTAATCGACGGTTTTAAAATGTCAGTCGAACTACATTACCCACAACCCACCGCTGGCTCTCGCGCGCTTTGTTTTGACATGGCGGCAGGGTTCAAAACATTTCTTGGTTATGTTTGTGTTCCGTTTCTTCTAACAGCGTCTACACCGCCTTTCCCGCGCGTTGCAGGTCGTTTTGGCGTGTTTTGGAAGGCTAAAATAACTCGTTTTCATATCGTTACCATAGTAACCACTGTTAAAAAACCTGGATGTTGTTACGTTGAGCACGTATAACCGTGATGTAAGCGAAGCCTTTTAAACGTTACGACATTTTTTTTTTGTCGTATTATGTTACCGAAATGCTGTAATTCCCTATGAATGTTTGTCAGATAAACTTAAAATGAATTTTACTATCTAAACGTCTTTAGCCGGCACGACTGAGTCAGAGCCAGATTCAAATTGGGCCGGTTCCGGTTCTTCCGTCCTCCGCCGGTAACCATGACGGTGGGACCGCGGCCATCAGTGCTCGTTCTCGGTTGAACTGACCCTTAACCTGTCGCCGTAATCTGTGGCTCAAATCCGGGATTAGCAGAGCCTTTTCCTGTGGGCAGAGGCGCCCGGGGGCCCGCATCATGTCATCCCCGGCCGGGCTCCAGTACTCCCGGGCGGATATCCTGGCCCGGTGGATGCCCGGAACCAACCGGGCCGGAGTGATCCTGGACCGTTCCCCGGATCTGGATGGACCCTCCCGGTTGGTTCTGGTGAACGACTCCTTCTCCTCGGACTTCGCTCCTCTTTCCGCCTCTGCAGACAGCAGCTGCAGCACCGGGGGTGGACATGCGGAGGCACCGGTGACCGGTGTCCGCCCCGGGCCCGCGGGGGGGGGCTCAGGGCCGGACGGTCCCGGGGAGATGGCCCACGGACCCCCGGATCAGACCCTCGTCGTGAAGCTGGAACAGGTACGTTTCTAGCTCTGATGCCTTGATTTTGTGACGTTTTATTTACATATTTGACACAGTAAAAATCAACTGAGTAATTTCTAAGTTCTGTGCTGGAGTGATAAAGAAGAATTCATACAAAAACATCTAAAATATCGGACATTTTGTGATAGGATAGTAAATAATATCATGTATTTTTTCCCATTCTGGCTAAGAGCTCCTTAAATAGTGGTAAGAATACTGAAACAAGGTGCCATCAGATTGCCAAAGATGCAATTTGAGAGCAGAACCCTCGTTGTGAAGCTGGAACAGGTACATTCCTGGCTCTGATGCCTTGATTTTGT